GGTTTTTCTTGTGTTTCTTGTGAATTTGGTCTTAAATTTTTATTTCAAGTGGCATTAAAAAGTCTTTAAAAGTCTTGAATTTAACTTGCCTTATGCTGTAGGAACTCTGGTCTAGCTGATCCTAAACCTCTGGGTAACTTCTACGTAACTTATCCAGAACTTCTCTCCAACGCATATCAACGTATCTGACGTGTTCCAGACGAGCGCTGAACGTGTTTCTTACTTCCAGCTACTTTTAGCTAATGGCGTATTGGCAGCGTTTTGGTTTAAAAGGGGTTCACAGGAGGAAACCGTCAGTTCTCCTCCTCGCAGGCAAACCTTGACTGTTATGGTCACTGATAAGCGATTCTGCATGATGGATTGTTCTGGCTAATAGTGAAGCATCGTAAACTCCCAATTTAGGGCAAGAGAATCTAAACCTGCCCAGAAGGACAAACTGTGCATTCCAGGGAAAGCTTTTCCAGACTAAAGCCGGGCGTACACTGTATGACTTGTTTTTTCACTATTTGGGACGATTCTCCAGTCGTGCCTGAAATGTTTAGATCTTTCCGACTTTCAGCCTGATGGTGTGTGGTGTAGTATACAGGGGGTAACGAGGGGCGATCAGCCTCTAACGACCACCTCTCCATCAGGAATCGTAAGATCTGGAGAAAATCAAATGTGTTTGAAATTCAGTCGGACGTCGTAAGGTGGTCATGGGCGAATCGCTCAGTGTGCAAACAAGAATTCTTCTTATTCTTCTTCTTCTCAGATGAAAACACAGCAACATTGCGGGGGTGCAATGAGTGAAATGGAGTTCTTTCCGTAAAACTGTCAGACCGTAGTAGCCATGTTAGCTCAGCCATGTCTTTGTCCAAATACGTCGTCTCCTTTTCTTTTTAGGGCTTTCAGCACAAAATTGCTGAAAGCTTCATGTTCCTCTTCTACTTATTTGGCTTCCAGATAGACGAGTCCGATTAGCGCCATCTCACTGCGGAGCTGAGTCCCACCTGGTTTTTAGACGTACAGGGTGAGCAGGTAGATCGCATTAGAGCGTCAGGTCGCACAGTGTGGGAACATTCATGTATGACGAAACCGCAGGGTTTCGTCATACATACAGTACGAGCACTAGCTGCGGGCAACCATTGGGAAAATTCGTACAGTGTAATATGAGATTGTATTTTTTTGTTGTACCAAGATTTGGATGACCTTCTTGGGCATAGGGGAAGATTTTAATACTCCTTTTTAGGTAGAGCCTATACAAGTAGATGTTGAATGAAAGGGACCAGAGACACGACCTTGAGGAGTCCCATAAGTTTAATACCAGCAGACAAATTCTCTAAAGTTCACTACTTCTGTTTCAAAGTGTGACAAATACAGGAGGGGGATCATCGATGGCTCGGCATGCAGTAGTCTGTGTGAAAAAGAAACTCTCTACATGGGCAGGTGTCTCTCCACACTACCAAATAACCAGGTAGGGGGCGCCGTGTCTTGCTGTTATTTGACGCAAAGCGTGGAGTTTGATTGGCGTTCTGCTTTCTACCAGGTTTACACAGGAGGCTGGGGGGACCACAGTGGGATCATCCGCTGCAAGCTGGGGGAGGTGGTTCGCTACGAGCTGGGCGAGGAACCGGAGCCACGGAAGGAAACCCCGGTGTTCGACAAACCTAACAGAGGCACCTCCGTGGAGAAATTCAAAGAGATGCTCTTCAATCATCTTAAGGTGGAAGAGCATCAAACCTGAAAGAAGTTAAAGTTAAAAACAAGTCTTAAACATCTTTCTTTCTCTACCAGTCCAAGTTCGGAGAGCACGCGGACCTTCCCAGTCTTGTCGGACAGATCCTCTCGGTAGCCGATGGCAACAGAGATGGACGGGTGTCACTGCCAGAGGCCCGTTCCACATGGGCCCTTCTGCAAATGGATGAGGTATCTGGCAATGACGATGTCACAGTTTAAAGACTCCAGATGGGTCAAAGTGGGAGCAACAATACAATAAGACTGATGTTATGATGCATCCCAGATACAATCAAATGAGTTTGTCTTCACGGTGAAGGGAAAAGCTCAGAGTTGTGTTAGAAATAACGCAGAGCCTCCAGACCAACTGAGAAACTCTTAATCACAAAACGGTCTTAAAGCGAAGGAGGTCTGACTTTAGTTCTGTTTTTCTGAAAACGTTTTCAGAGGTCCGTCAAGTCTGTCGGCTACAGAGATGGAAGTAACGAAGTACAAATACTTCGTTACTGTACTCAAGTAGATTTTCTGATATTTTTACTTTACTTTACTACTTATTAAATACATCATGTGATGCTAACATACAGCCACTCCCTAATGTGACTGTGGGTGGTTTTTGGCCTGGAGTTGATGTCATCAGACGGTGCCCGACCTTCACAGGGTGTTTCGACCCTTAACCGCTACACCCTCCAGCTGGCGGGTCAGCAGTGGTGGCCAGGTCACTGCCCATCATCTCCAGGCGACTTTTTACTTCTACTCCTT